GAAACATAGTTAGGATGAACTGCAGGTTTGTATAAGTTGTTTTTCCCTGTAAAGGATGGAATAAGAATTGTTTAGATATGTGTTTCACATGAAGGGACTGACACAGTTAAACTGTCAAAGCAACAGTAAGGATGGTAGATGATCAAGTTTTAAACCTTGATATATCAGACTTTGGTCACTAGATGGCAGCAGAGTTCCTCTGCATCTGCCAAATTCTCATCTGACAAATATATTACAGTGAGTTGTTTTTTTTCTGTGTAGTAGACTTAAGTAGTAGACTTAAGCTTTAATGCTCTTTAATGCTTCCCACGTACAGCTATGCTTTACCAAGAAAGAGCACAGAGGTCATGCTGATGCAGGAGCAAGGCACCAAGACGTACGTCGATGCTGTCCTCAAGACTCACCACCGAGTCATTCAGGTAAGACCTGGCTTGTTGTGTTTTTTGGGGTTTTGTTTGTGCTTTTAGCTCAAACTGCAGGTGCTGCAGGTGTACTAACAGGTTTTAAAGACCTAACTGCTAACTGTGTTATTATTTTTTGTCCAGCTGAGCACTCTGAACGCCGCGCTGTGTCCCGTCTTCATGGACGTCCTCTTAAAGAATCAACCAGAGGGAGTTCAGCTCTCTGTGACGGAGGTGAGTTAGCTGTTGCATGTTCATCTTTTAGTCCATAACTGTTGGAGAACATTAGAAGTGCTCACTATAACCAACCAGACTCCATCTTACTCTTAAAAGCAATGTGCATGTGTAGTTTTTGGTCATATCATAATTTTTAGTACTAATCCACTTTTCTCCCTCTGTACCTCTCAGCACACCGAAGCTGATTTCCAAGCACGGTTCAAGGGGCGTCCAGAGCTGGAGGGGCTCATCGCTCAGATGAACCAATAACTTTCCACCTCATTATGTACAAGTATCAGTTTGATCTAATTTATTACCCATCATTCCTCAGTAGCGTCCTGTATAAATGGATTCTCTGAAATGGAAAAAAAACCTGTGCACATTAGTCTCATTTTGTGACCTTTGGGAAATAAAACCACACTCATTTTTCCATCTTAAAATATTTTCATATTTATTTTTCTGGTTCTTCTGCTACATTGTAAACTTTGTTCACTTTAATACACATCATGTCACTGTACTTTTTTTAACCTTTGGACACAAAATGTAGCATTTTTAATTTCTATGACTAAAAGTTAGAATTGTAGCAGTCAGGTATTTTTTAATTTAAATATAAAAGTTCAGAATATTTTATTTGCCCGTATTCTGAGTAAAAATTAACATTTGTATCCCATGTTGTAGAAAAACATAAAAGAAATTAAATTACACAGATAAAAACAAGATAAACAATTTAAAATAATAAAGGTAGTTTTTTTAAAACAAGAGAAAGATAT